CTACCTCCTGCTGTAACCTGTGTAATTATTCTATATCTGTGTATAAAAAGCTGTATATAATCTACATACAAATCTTCTACAATCTCTTATTCTTCCATTTTAATCATATGTTTCATTCTATTTTTATCCAATGTGTATTTTCTCATTTGTGGTGTTGTATCTGGAGCTGCTGTCGGGAGTGAATCTCCCCAGTGTGGGTAACTGGGGAGATAACGTCTATCTGATCTCATCTAATGCAGATTTATGTCTCCATACATAGATGAAGACGTGAACATATGAATTAATAATGTGAGATCATTTCAATTTAAACAGGGCGCATTCGTTCATACCTGTGGATGATTCATTGATCCAGTGCCTGCTTATTGAGAGTGGATCCACTGCGCCACCTGGAGTTAACAACGTGTATTACACAACCACAGGATCACATTACAATAACTGTCTGTTTGATTTTATAATGATCTGACATTTAAAACTGAAGGTTTACTATTTAAATGGACTTAAATGTCACATATAGTTCCAGTTACAGTATTTATATAATGTGTTTGTTGAATATAAATATATATATACGGTAATTATCAAAACGCCTCATACTGTTGATATTTATGATCACACATATTGAATGTGAGTACATACATGGCCTCTGGCTGAGAGTATATTATTAAATACATTATATATTACTAAGTATATTCACTGTTTTCATTTTAAAGTCAGGGAAGGGAACACAGGTAGATAGTAACTCAGGGGAGAACACCAGGGGTCCTTGAGAGGATAACAGGGGTTCCTGGAAAATAATTTATATATATTATCTATTTCCACTTTAACTCCATCCATAAGTAACAAAATGACAGAGATTATGACTATATTGGTCATATATCAGATGAGTCAGATATCAGTATCGACAGAGGATCCTGAACCTTTACTGTTTAATTCGATTTTGGAGAAAAGATTAGATTTTCTTTGCATTTCTCGGTGCTGTCAGTGTGTGTGTGTGTGTGTGTGTGTGTGTGGCCAAACAGCCAGTGAGTGGTCCTCTACACTGTATATTATTAGGTTATTATTACAGCATTAATCAGTTTATCACTGTAGTAGCTGGTCTTTTATATACCGTTAATAAAATATACTCGTCACACTGTCAACAAAACCAAACAGAAGCTCAGAGTTAATATGAAGCATTTATTCTCCAGATTACAGAGACACAGTAACAAAATGCAACATCACTGACTTTTTATCCATATATAAAAATACATTTGAACATATAAAATAAATGAGCTCATTTGTAGCCGTATGCACCACTAAACCAACTGACCTGGCGTGGGTGGATGGTACCAATAATCTGGATTCGACGGGGATCCCAGACACAATTCTCCTCCAATCCGCTCTTCACCATTCCACAGTCGGGCGGCACCCAGGCGGTGTCGTAGCCGTGGTCATGCCAGGTCTTCTGAAGCTGGTGGCCTTGATAATCGATGGCTTTCACTTTCCCCACGTTGACCTTAACCTTAATGACGACCCTGTCAGACTCATGGTGATCCATCGGATAGCGATGAGCTTTCTCCACGTTTCTGCTGAGGTAGACGCCGCGGCCGAGCATCCCGTCTGCAGACTGGCGAAATCCTGAGGCCAGGATGGATCGAGCTTTTGTCCTGCAGGTGCCGTGGTACATGACATACGTTTGACCACTAACTGGCTCGGGGAGGTCCAGGCGCAGTACCCCACTGGGCAGATCAAAGTCATCTTCAGGCCACTGGTACTCCATGTTGGCGTCAGTATCGCTGTCCAACAGAGAGATTTATCAACGTTGAATCCTTGAACACTAATATTTAAGTTCATTTTAAGTTCTGGATGCGGTTAACCTCACTAAACACACACGACAAAGTATTCTACCACGACTGTAACAATGCTAATATGCTAACGTTAACAGCCGTTACTATGTTCATAAAAACTAAGGATATTGTATGTGGATTTGTTGTCATATTTAATATTTCACATTTCAGATAAAACGTATAAACATTTAGTAAAATGTATATATATCTCTTCCATATCGGTCTCTGTAAAACTACAGACTAAGAGATGAAACAAACTATGCACATACCTTTCTCCAGGTTCCTCTGAGAGTGACGGCTGTGAGTTTGCTCTTCATTTTATAAGAAACTTGTTTGCGTTGGGAGTTGTGTCCGATCTTTCACTTTCATTTCACCTCTCACATTGTTTTGTGACTTTCGTTTACAGTCAGGTTTTATTTGGGTGTGGTCAACACAGCGGTGACGTTAGGTTTCTGTCCTGCCAAGCAGCATCAGCAGTGATCAGTGATTTTAGGGCTTTATAGGAAGGTGTGAACATTGAACTTATGTTACATTCCAGGATTCCCCTATTAGGGTAAGTTATGCATTATGTGCAAGTTAGGGATTGTATATGCAAAAGCACCTTTAAAGGATATCCTGAGCCTTAATAAGGTTTCTTAGTGTGTAATCTTAAATATATACGTAATTATTAAAAACCTCCTGATGCCACCAACTCCTTTTAAGTATCCACTCCTCCTCTTTTATTCAGTTTAAAGCAATTCACTACAGTCATTGGTCTGGGGCTAAACTTGGAAAGACATTCCCAAGTCCCTTAAATCTCACCTGCCCCTTGCTGTAAATGGGAATGTTACTTCCTCCATTCTGGTTGTGCCCTAAACCGCCAGATCTGAAATGTTTTCTGAGCTCTTTGAATTCGAGTTTTTGTAAACATTCCTAATGTAGGTGTATTTACTTACTTAGCTGATTGTTGTATGTTTATGTTGATTATTGCCTTCAAATAAACAGAACAATTAATATAATCTCCCCCATAAATGTAATAAAAACATAACCAGTGGCACTCAACTGTGTTCAGGGCTTACCTGTTCAACAACAAGCTGGTGTCACCTGTCAACATGTTCCAGCAGCATTCCACTGTAAGCCTTGTCATTGTTTTATTGTTTTTGAATGAAGAGAACATTTTGTTATTATACCTGCCCAACGAGTACAAGAAGGTGCAGTTTCATAAAGATGAACTGAAGAGAATGTGTTGCAGCTGTGACGTTATTAAAGAATAATGAAAACCTTCCGGCCAGTCAGGATCAAACCAAGAA